CGAGATATAAAAGAAATGCATTACAAATTGTGAAAACAGGTTAAATTAACACGAAAGTACGATTTGAGAGTTCTCGCAGTTACTGAAAGCTACTTAAAAGCCAGAAACAATTAATAATAAAAAAATAATGTATCAGAAACTAAAATCAGTTAAAACACATATCAGACAGGGATTTAGTGTTTTAACGCCATGGGCAGTCAAAGAAGACATGACTTGTGCAATGCCAAAATAAAAGTAACGACAGGCAGTAGGATAGTTAGGATTCAACCTTATAATAAATATGTATGATGTTATATATAGATAAAACAATTTCTAAATAGAAAATAAACGTGGATGTGTATACATACATCCCAAAAAACATTCGAAAAGAATACAAATTTAGTTATGTTTTAATTTGTTGTTGTTAAAATCGATGTCAGTGCCAATGAAAACAATATTCAAAGAGCTAAGTACACTGTCGTGAACGGCGATATTACGTAGAAATACAGTGTTTTGAGTCGCTTTTGACGTCAATATGAAGTCTTTTGAGTCTCTTTCATTGTATATAAATTGAATTTCTATTGAAAGCGTTAGTCGTGATCGGACTACCGTGGCACAAGGTTGCTTATAACCAAAAACCTAAATATATTATATACAGAGGCTCAACGACGCAGACTCGAGTCTTAAAGTCGCTAATCAAATAAGGCATCAACATAGCTTTTCTTCAAAAAAGAAAAAAAAAAGGTCACAGTGATTCTTATATTATTCACTTGAAATACCAAAAGTATAGTAATGATTATTATTAAGTTCCAACGATTCTTTACATATTATGAATTTGAATCTTCTCAAAAGTACAGTAAAATCAGGCGTCGCAACTTGTACATTTGAAAAGTCGACATAGCTTATATAATTATAGAGATTTCTATATTTACTTGTGATTAAGATAGTTTATTTAAATACATGCGTATATAGTACTTGACCAGAGTTACTCACTAGCTTGCATACTATTAAAATGTTCTTCATTGTATGTTGATAAATTAAAAATTGTCTGGATTACATATATATATAATACTTCATTCAATCATTAACTTTATACGAATTGTCTATTGAAACAACGCATCTTTAATTATATCACTTGGATTAACTAACACTATGGGATAGAGTTGACCCAAGGGAGCAGTCATTGGAAAGAGTATATTGCGGATTATAAGTTTGTTTGACGGGTTGTATAGTTTTGCTAGTGCGTCGTAGTTTTACTTCAGGGTAATAAAATCGCTTTAGCAACACAGAGCGAAAACGTTACAGTATTTTAAAGGGGCATTAGCTACGATTTAGACCAAATTTTAAAATACGAATCTTTTTGTTTCAAGTATCAATAAAAGCGGAATTTTGAAATAAAATTTCGTTATAAACAATTAGTGTGGATCCAAATTTATAAAATTAAGAGCAAAAACATCGCTGATGCATATTGACTTGCAAGTGAATAATTCGACCTCATGTGAATCCGTATTCATGTGGATTTCGATTTAACCCCTTAGCTAGAGATGGGTTACGCATGTATTAGATGTATTCGGCTGTTAAAAGGAAAGGAATGTCAACATTGAAAGTGAAACAAGGATGAACCATTTCGTTGACTGATTCGAACCACAAAAAAAATCATTCTTATACAGGTAAAAAGGATGATTAACTTATTTGTTTCAACCTATAACATGAAATCAAACAGACCTAGAAAAAATTAAACTGCACGTTGTTGCTATCTATTTATATGTATATTTATGTTTATATCGGATTATATGACCGTTGGCAATCTTCGGAGGTCATCTCGATGGTTAATGATATGGCGTCTTGACTCAACTACAGACGAAATGCTGATATATATTGTCGAGCCCATGCATTGTCAATTGTTTATTTCAGACTTATTGTAATGTGTAAATACGTTTTATTATGTTATAAACCAAATATGAGAATTTAAGTCAAATCGGTAACCATGAACTCGCCAGCTAATGCCCCTTTAAAGTCGTAGCGCCCAACACTAAAATCATATATGACGCACTGTTTCTTTCTTTTTTGTAATAAATCTAGCTGCACAACTCACATGCTGAAACCATAACAGTCTTTTTGTTTTATGCACTATCTTAAGTGTTGTGGTAGAAGGTTTAGATATATTATGTTCGGTTGAGGAAGCCAATGATAATTTGATAGGTAAATTGTATAAAAACTTCTTCAATAATTTGACGACGTGTTAACAATGAATAAAATTTTCCTCAATATGAAATACGATTCTTTTCACAAAGGGCAGACTATCTTAAAATAATGTTTTGGATAACGATTTTGGTAATGAGATATTATTTTAAAATCATTTCCAATTAGGAAAACTCCACATTACAATATTGAGACTACAAACTCTAATACGCATCGACAAAGAAGTATAAATTGAAGGACGAATGTTATGAAAGAAATTAATCAATCGAGGCAACTCGTTGAAACAAAAATAGATTATCATCGAGTGAAGACTTTTATATTTGTATTACTTGATTTATTTCACTTGACTGGGCGGAGTTTAACTGGTTCGCTTATCATAGACCAGTCCATCTATAGACAGGTGTTTTGGGATAAACTCATCAATGAAGTGTCCAGTTATGGTTATTGATCCGGTTAAAATATGTAAATACTATATGTGTATTTGCAAAGTAAATATTGAGACAACGCCTTTTATTTTCTTGTAAAACGGAGTTTAAAAACATGTAAAATTTTTCACATTTTGGAAATTGTAGATATGAAAGTATGACTATGACGACGGCAGTTGCAAAATATGCATATTTCGTTATCTTATAACGTTTTGATATACTTTTTTTCCTCCTTTTATTCCGAATGCATTTTTTGGGGGGACGGAGCAGGGTAAATTTCCGTATGGTAGCCTCACTAACAATACCATACAATACAATACAATATGCTTTATTTAAAAACACTCCGTCACATTGACATGTGAAACAAGAGGTAAATATATACAAAATACAATCACATACAATCATAGAAATAAATAGACCACTATCAAAGGTAGCTTCTGCAGTTCTCTTTGTAAAGGCTTTTACCGGAGTGTGCGTCGGTTGCTGAATCTGCGACTCGAAAAACTTTGACACGTTGTAAACTATTTCTTTTGACTGAGAGAAAAGTATCTTTTTACGGTCGGCCATGATTCGTAATACAGAATGATTTACCCGAACTTATATAGCAGATGTGCTTAAGTAGAAAATCTAAGAAGCGGTAAAACATACACACCTAAATCGAAAATTTCTTTTTTTGAAAGCTATATATTATGATCATATTTAAGGAAAAAAAAATAGGGTGTAAATATTTTTATCTTTTATATATAATTTTTATAAATCCAGTTTAATATTAAACTCACAAGTAGATTAAAGGTTTTAAAAAGAATAATACAATAGCCGATATTTTGAAATACTAAGCTATAGCACATATTAATGTTATCAATTTTAACCTTTTTTATTCGTCCCATATCATACGCTCAGTTCTTTTGTTGATCCGTTTGGTGACACTGATAGGTGATTAGAAATCAAGTATAATAATTATAACGGCAATCATCCATATCACACACATCTTCAAATAGACTGTCCTTATGCAAATTAAAACGTAAGCTCCGCCCGATCAGTTGAAAAAAACATTGGTAATATGCCTAAGTAGGATTTCACTCATTTATTTATTGCAATTTTACAATTTTACTACTTGGGTGAAATTAAAATAAAGAAATATCAATCACAATGAAAGATACAAAATCATAGACCATTGTGTGATTCTTTTATTATCAATGGCTTGTGGTAGAACGGTGGTTCACTAAACATGACAGATAAATCTAATTGAATAGATTAGAAACAGTCTTAGAAAAATGATTTTTATTCAGGCGAACTTTGTATATGTAAGAGAATGATAATCCCTTTCTTCATGATTAAGTACGAGCGTTAGCGAGTACTTATCATGAAGAAAGAGATTATCATTCTCATACAAACTTAGAATATTGTAAAGTGTTCGAGGCTTAAATGATCTCTTGATTGGTTGTATTTAAGAATTAGTTTCATTGTCAGTGCAATGTTTGTATTTAATGCATGACTTCCTTTTTAGGCATTTCATTTATGGATTAGTTTTGGTGATGTAAGGACTTTCTTATCGTTTTGGAAAATATAATAGATTGTGTTTTAGACATTAGATGACACAACTGACAACATGAATTGGTAAGAAATGTTTCCTGATTGTGAGAATGGATGTAAATCGTGTTATATTTTAGCGAGGAATTATCTTTTTTTTTATTATTTCCTGTTGAAATCAATTAATTCAAAATTTGAGTTACAACTAAATTTTATTTTACAGCCAATATTTAGTCCAGTCCTTTACATCAAATACTACCTCATTATGTCAAGGAAATGTTCAAATACAATCATGCCGTTAAAAGTTTAAAATATATTCAAAAGTTAAACTAAATTCCTTTTTTTCTAATTTTTATCAGAATATTGGAAATTACTATTCTCACCAACAGCGGATCCAGTAATTAAATATTTTTTTTTTTTTTTTTTTTTTTTTTTTTTTTTTTTTGCATTGCTTTGATGATATTTATTTTTTTCGGTAATTTGAAATGATTAATATTCTCATAATAACGTTAACGGTACCGATTTTACTGCACAAGTAAACTTCATCTTATTTTGATTTTTTTCTTTTAGTCAGTTTTAATCATAAATTCTTTCAAGCTGATAAATGTGCTTCAGGGCATTTGTAACTAATTTATAGAAACTCTTTGTTTTGAACTGTAAGTAGGCCTTAAGAATAGGATAATCCCTTACTAAGAACATGATTTTATTCATTCTTCACAATTAAGAAACACCAAATCCTACAATTTTATAGGCCGAGAGCACTTTGCTATATTCTAAACATTAATAAATATTTAATTTGTAATTGGTTTGTTTTTCATCGATTCAAACCAAGCGAAAAAATTCTTATATATTAATTAAATCGTTCACCAAGCGAATACTAGTGTCATAAGTTAAAAGAACGAATAAAATATTCTCAAAGCACCAACAGTCTCAATAAACGGGTTTTGCGGACAAATGTCAACATCATGGAATATTTTACATTTATTTTGATATATTTGATGCTTGTCAACGTAATCGTGGTTTATCCCCAAAAGATTGACAATTTTATTGCTAGTAATCACAGACAAATTGAGACTGGTTCTTCAATCATCAAAGTGCGCTCTAAAACGGAATGCATTTCTTTTTGCATAAAACACAATGACTGTTGCTTTGCAAATTACCGGGATTCCACAAAAAAATGTAGTGTTGGAACAACGAACAGATGTCATGCATCATCCATATACGCATATGGCTGGCAGTTACTTAGAAGAGGTAAGGAACTCACTCAAATAATGTAAATAAATGGTTTGATGAAAATTTAAGATTTTCTTTCTTTTGCAATTTAGAACATTAAAATAATTTCTTCAATTGTCTTATAAATTTTAAAATTAATAAGAAACAAAACGTCCTACTCCCTCAGACAAAGGTCAACTTAGATGGTTTTGGCTAATATCATAAGGTCCTTTTTGTTCATATAGCTCTCCACGTGTTTCACAGTCAGGATTCTACTTCGTCAAAATTATCTCCCCATTACGCCACCTAATTTTTATAATCGTAAAAATGGAAGCCTTTGTAGTGATGACGTGCTGTCAATTTAGCTCTTGACAACCGATAAATTTATCCGCATAGCATCATTACGGTCCTTATAGGCAAGTTGTATTTTAAAAGACAAATGAATCTATTGAGCATTATTCAATGTACTTTTATGCATTTGGTCAACTAAAAACTATTGTCTGGTCGGTTGTCAAGGGGCATTTTCGAAAGTTCAAAAATATTTTAAAAAGTTCTCTAATTAAATATTTCGTGGAAAGGCAGACTAAAAATTTTCAGAGATTGAAGACTAATTACAATTGATAACACACACAAAAATTGATGTTTTTTTTTGAAGTTATGCATTTTTAAGATCCTCTTGAAAAGTCTGTCGTCAAGTACTTTTAGTAAAAAATTCTTATTCGAACACTACTACTCTGTTGTTAAGACTCATTAGAAAGGTATTTCACTTAACCCATATATTTCTTTTTTTAGGACTGTAAATTTTTAATGTTATCATATCAACCTAGAGCCCAAATATATAAAAATAATAGAATCTGAAGCGAGATGATGTATCAAATATTTTTCTTTTATAAGTCTTCAAGACAGAATAGTCAACTCAAACACGCCTGAACATAAAAAAGATATACTCGACTTTCTCTTTTCGATGAAATTGTTGCCCATTTTGGGTATTTTTTCCCGTAATGATTGTCGCCGGGGACAGAGATGCAAATGAATGCTTTAAAAAGATCAATCTATTATCTTTCTTTGGGTTTTTTCCGGTGGAATTTATGCTTATGCACAAAAAAGATCCACATGTATTTGCACCTACCACAATCGACTGTTTTGTGAAAAATTCGTATATAATTTAAAAATTTACAAATATCTCAAAGCTCCATACCATAATTCAAGTACAAACACATACATAAGATGCATAAAATCCTAAATAAGGCACATTCATTAAACTTTTATAGCCCATAGAAACAAATGTAAACAATTCAAGTTTAGCAACTTGGATTTTTTTACCTTCTCTAACAAAAAGTTCCATTTCTTTTGTTGAATTTCAACTGGGTTTCCGTCTGTTCATTTCTTATACATCCTTGGGTTTCTGATACAGAAAAGCGCTTCGGACTCATACAATTTATAACTGTTTATTTCATTTTGAACAGTATATTAGCAATACAGCAATAATACCTTCATCGAAATGTAAAACAAATAAATATTTGCATTGTATGATAAATAATAATCCAATTACAAGTGACTATATGAATGTTTAAATTTCCCTCATCCATTATTACTATAACTAGTAGTACAATTAGTATGAGAATTCATAGAAGTCTCTTATTCCGTCAAACTTTAACGGTGTTGTATATTTTGATTTAAGCGCTTATGTTCCGATGAAATGTTCTGACGATAAAAACAGTAGTATTTTTTTCTACATAGATAATACTATTTTTTTCGAAATTATCTACTTTTCATATATTTGATAATATAAGTTATATCTTAATACCAAGTTTACCTGCGAAATATAAAATGCTAAACATCACATAAAAATAGAATTTTGGCAAAATTCAACATTTTCTCCCAAAATTCCTCCAAAAATATTTTTTTTAAACATTCTCCAAAAATAAAAATAAAACATAAAAGGTAATATTTGACAATGCGCAGCAGCATCAGTGTAGTTCTTCATAGGAATTTTTCAATTTTCCACCCTGATAAGTATAAAGATGAGTTAAAACATTTTATTTTCTAATTTTTTAATTTTTTTTTTATTTAAGCAAAATTTCATTCACGAGTGTAAAAAATTGTAGACATTGAAGTCAAATGATGGCATGATATAGTATCTATAACAACCGTAATTTTATACCAAATTTAAATAGAATAAGAAACATTTGTAGAAAATATTTCAAGCGTCCGAAACACATTTCTGGATTAACCTTCATCAGGAAGGTTGAGACTTGAAAATTTGAAAGGTAAAAGTAGGTACCAAATTTTGGTGATTGAGGAAATATTGCATTTTTATGTACATTTGATTTCGTGGTTTTGTCAAAGTCTGCACACAAGCCTATAACAAATTTGTACTTCGTTGAATGTTAAAAGTCGATGTTCACCTTAACCCTTGAAATCCACGACAATTGGTTACCTATGAATAGTAATGAATCAACGGTACCATTAAACGACCTAAAACAATTAATAGCCAAGATTAGCTTTGAACGAGAGAGTTGCAGCTTAAACTTGTTATTCAAAGATAAGTAAAAATTGTTTTATACTCATAAATCCAATCACAGTGCTTAAAAGTTGAATTCCTTCACTTAAGTATTGTACACAAAATGGCAAAATTATGCCAGGAAAATTAACTACTGCTACTATCTCAACAGCTTTCAGTTGTAAAAAGAATGAATTTTTGTGTAAATTATTATAGTTATATTATATTCAGTAAGATGGTCTCACGCACAATTAGCAGGATACATTGTTTTGTACTGTTTTGCCTTGTTTTCTTTTGGTAGATGTACTACGAGAGTCTCAAAACAAATCATATACACAGTGATAAAAATTCCTTATGTTCACCTGACCATTCTTTTTGCAATTTGTATGTGCATATTTACAAACCCTTGTTATTGTCTTTAGATAGTGTGAGAGTTATAGATTATAACATGTCCTTTCCCATATATCATCCCGAGACTCCCATATCAGTCCAAAGCGCTAGCTATACCAGGGAATGGACATGTTATAATATATTTATCACTTATTACACAAATGCTTAAAGAAGTAGAAACAATTTTATCATTCCGTCTGTCAAGGTCCGCCACTGAAATAACATCTTCATTAAGATAATCCCCAACCGTTCAAAACTATTGTCCTTGAATATTATTATCTCAATGTCAGATTTTCTTTTAGTATTAGTGTTCTTTATTTCTTCAATAAATTCCGCTGCCATTTTTATCAACGTTTCTCGTAATTCTCACACTATCTAAACACCAGCCCAGTAGCCAGTACTTCGGTACTTGCATGAAAATACGGATCTAGTGTTATTGAAATTTCCTGTTACAAAATGTTTGAAATTATTTAAAATTAAGGAATGTACCTCCCTCATGCAAAGCTCTGATTCCCTGCCCGGCTTTGGCTATACTTTTTTTCCTTTTTGGCTTATATCTCTTCATTTTTTTAATAAGCTTTGGATTTTCAAATGTTTTGACTTTGAGCATCACTGAAGAGACATTGATTGTCGAAATGCGCATTTGGTGCAGAAAAATTGGTACCGTTTATGTTATTACTACCACTGGGTCGATGCCTCTGCTGGTGGACTGATAGTCCCCGAGGGTATCACCAGCCCAGTAGCCAGTACTTCGGTACTGGCATGAAAATACGGATCTAGTGTTATTGAAATTTCCTGTTACAAAATGTTTGAAATTATTTAAAATTAAGGAATGTATCTCCCTCATGCAAAGCTCTGATTCCCTGCCCGGTTTTGGCTATACTTTTTTTGTCCTTTTTGGCTTATAGCTCTTCATTTTTTTAATAAGCTTTGGATTTTCAAATATTTTGACTTCGAGCATCACTGAAGAGACATTGATTGTCGAAATGCGCATCTGGTGCAGAAAAATTGGTACCGTTTATGTTATTGTTGTTGTTGGGAGGAATGTTATCACATATTTGTAGCATTCTAGTCATATTCCTGCCCGGGCAAATAACCAGTTATTGTGCCCTGTTGTGAAATCATAAGCGTTCCTAACAACAATACCGTTATAACACGGCACAATAACCGGCTATTTGCCCAGGGTAGGAATATGACCTCTGCGAATCTGCAGTTATTGCATATGCAAAATCCAATGTGCATATTGAAATGAGATACCGAGTGAACATTATGTGGATTAAGTTTTTATACATTATATTACCGAAAAACATTACGAGGTAATATGCTTATATACACTAGAAGAATTTCCCGCGTTTTGACAAATATAACCTCATAAAATTTTTCAGGATTATATTTGAGTATGCCAGATTCCTATATGCTGCGGTAATTTTAATCATAATTTCAGGTAGAACCTACAAGAACAAGGTGTTTTTTCATATTGGAGATTCAAAAATTTGGTCTGATGCACAGGTTGGTATCTATTATTTGAAGAAGATGAAGCTTGAACAGTAAAAAAAGACAAAATAAAGTCGTCAAAGCATCACAATAACACCAATATTGAGCAACAATAGTCTAGCGTTACTTTTAAGTATGGGGAATTCCTTTTCTCTGAATTGGAATTTCGTGTAGATGAGACACGCCTCTTATGTATTAAGTTATAAGCCTTGTAACTTTGGTATGTTTTTAGTAAGAATTTCCTTCCACTAGTCGCAGACATGCTAATTATAATCTGAATATACCATTAATTAACAATATACAAAAGGTCATACATCTTTATATATACGTGTAACTGGTTAAAGCAGTATGGAGCAATGGCTATCGAGTATTGTTTTTCTTAACTTATCATCAATGCATTAATACATGTTAAAAAAATAAATATATTTCATGTTTTGCTCTATGTAAAATTCCTGATGTTGCAATGTGTTTTCTTTTAGGACAACTGTGGCAGTTTTGGTATGAGACTCGCAACTGTTAGTAACTTTAACGAAAACGAGTTCCTTAAATCTGTTACTAATTGTAAGTTACTATGAATTTATTAACGAAAATAAACCAACGAACTCAATAAACGATTTCGATACTTAAATTGTAAAAAGAATTTCTCGTGCGATTAACTCGTACAAAGACATATATATATATATATATATATATATATAAGTACGTCTCAAGTGACAACTCTACGATAGATCCATGCATTGGATCACCAGTGAAGGTGATACACGGCTGAAAACACATATTATATTCAAATTACTCTAAATATCAGCACAACAATGTTAAATCTGCAAATTTGCGAAAGCAAATCTTTGTTAATCTCTCGCCGGGATTCGAACTCATGCTTTTGGGATATCGTGACAACACCGCCTGCATTGTGTCCAGCGCTCTAGACCACTAGGCCACCTAGATTGAACTAAAAATTCAGATTTCGGTGGCCTAGTGCTACCTTTCCTCGGCAATAGAATCTAGAGTTGTAACACAGTACATGATATATTAGGCATGAAGATGGAATTGATTGCTAAATTATCTGTCGCACGATCCTTTACGACAGATAATTTAGCTAATCTGCAATCAATTTTATTTTCATGCCTAATATATCATGCACTGTGTTACAACTCTAGATTCTACTATATATATATATATATATTTATATATTAGTATCATCATAATTGCAAAGCATACAAACTACACACCTCTTCTTGCCAACTTTTTTTTTTCTGTTATGCACTTTCATTAATTTTTAATTTTGGACAGAGCAAAAAAAAAAGAAATGACAGAATAATGAACATTCTTAACAATATGGTAAACATAACCTTGTACTAACTGAAGATAATCCTGAATTATTTTAACACCTTGAATGTATTTATAAAAAAAAGTTTAATTATGCTTTCATCAACGTTATCTGGTCTCTGATGGATACTTTATTTCATTGGCAATCCTACCATATCCTTATCTTTGTTAGATTGTCCATATTTAGGTATAATTGTATTGGTATAGACATGATAAATTAACTGAATTATAGGACAAACGAGACGATGTCAATTTCACCCTGAAGATGTACTTGTATTCGAAACATTAAAAGTTCGTGCAAGTTTCGATTATAATCAGATACGAATAAATTAAGCTATGGTACCTTATGAAGATGTACGGTTTTATTAGAACATACTCACTCATCCTCGTCCAATGGAAAATCAGTATTTGCCTTTCTATTTTTCATAGTACATGGCTTTCCATGCACTTTAAAATGCTACACATGAATGACTTTTCATTGTAGATTAATTATAGGTTAGATAATACTTGGTCATGTTTTATGAATATCTAAAGCCCGAGGCGTAGCCGAGGGTTTTAAATGTTCATAAAACATGACCAAGAATTGTCTGACCAATTTAGAACATAGTCACACCTTTGAGTGACATAACAAAATTAGCCTCTCATTGTAATAACCACACTTTGATACTAGCTCACTTTAAGTGTTAACATGTTTAGTAAAAGGGATGTTAATCATTTAATGGTCATTTCAACAGATGTAATGAAAGAGCATTTCGTCTGCTTTAGGTACAATTTAATCTTGTATATCTAAAATTCCTTCATTTCATAAGCACACAATGTTATATAAATCAGCTTTCCTAAAATTGTATAATTTTTAAATAAGGACAAAACTTCATCAATAGATTTTGATTTACAATTAATTCAACATCAAGTGCTTGCTTATTTTTTATTGACGAATGTATTGGTTTTTTTCTCTCATAAACTTCCTTTGATTTTTCTTAAAACATTGAGTTTTAGGTCTGGTATAAAAATTAGATTAAATATTACATGTATTTTACCTACGCTGTTGCCCCCTTTTATTATTTTGTTTTTTTCGGGGGGGGGGGGGGATATGTACCATTAAAAAACATTATTTCTATTTTTCTGATTTCATATATAATACCGGGTAATTAGACAAACAACAGTACTCAAGATATTTTCTTTTGCTCTTTTTCCTTGGACATTGCCTTGGGGGTTGTACACTTCGTTAGTGCAAATTTTAAGAGTTCACTTTCATAATTAATCTACAATGAAAAGTCATTCATGTGTAGCATTTTATAGTGCATGAAAAAAATAGATGAGAAGATACTGATTTACCATTGGTAGAGAATGGGTGAGTATGTTCTAGGTAAAGGTTAGACAATACTTGGTCATGTTTTATAAAGATTTAAAGCCCAAGGCGTGATCTTACAAAATTATCCTTTTCCATTGTAATATTCAAACCTTGAATTCACTTTTGATAATGAAGTGTTAACTAGGTTAACAAAAGGAATGTATAACATAGGTAATGATAATTTCAATGGATGGAATGAAATAGCACTTACATAATTTAGTGAGGACAAAAGGATAAATTGTTCAAACATAGAGTTTTTCTTCTGCTTCCGGTAAAATTTAATACTTATATACATTACATTTCTTGATTTTAAAAAGCACACAATGTTATATAAATCAGCTTTTTGAAATTTGTATATTTTTTTTATTATTATAAAACTCACTCTATAAATATCTGAATTACAACCATTCAAAATCAGATGCTTACTTTTTATTGATGAATGTACATGGATTGTGTTTTTTTTTTCGAAAAAAAATCCTTTGCTTTATATATCAGCAGTCTGACATTGTTTTCTTGAAGGACTTTTATGATATGTTTGTGAGTGATTTGGTCCAGTTTATACACCAATAAATTCCTTAAAAAAGGCGTTCAATCCTTAGAATTTTTTAAAATTGGAGATAAAGAATTGATTTTTCCACATTCGTAACCTCTATCACACGTATATTGTATATTTGTGTTATTGAAATGGCCTGGTGCATGAATATATGTGTTGGTTAACGCAAAAATGTGAACTTCGTGAAATTTGCTATCTGAGAAAAAAATAAACTACAAAAATAACTTGTTCAAATGAATGTTATTGTGTTTATTATTTAATTTAACGATTAGCGCGAAGCGAAAATAAATATTTTTAACATCGAGCCGGATTGTGTAATTATCGCCGCCATCTTGTTTACATTGGTTACAAAAGGTAGTTCGGTCAACGTCGTCTATTGAAAAATAAACAACGTCATGATCCACTATCGGAAGCCCTCTCGACCGATCATATTAACGTATTCCCTAATATGCAAGCCATATAAGAATTATTTCATAATTAATCTACAATGAAAAGTTATTCATGTAAAGCATTTTATAGTGCATGGAAAGCCATTTACTTTGAGAATTAGAAGGAAAAAACTGACTTTTCATTGGACGAGAAGGGGTGAGTATGTTCTAATTATAAAAGTGAACTCTTAAAAATTGTACTAACGAAATGAACAACCCCCAAGGCAATGTCCAAGGGAAAAGATTAGAAGAAAAAAATCATGATTACTGTTGTTTGTCTAATTACCCGGTATTATAAATGAAATGAAGAGAATAGGACTACAAAAGCATTTTAAGTTCAGATTTCAACGTTGTAAATGCTATTTAATGGTATATATAAAGACCACTCCCCATCCCCCCCCCAAAAAAAACAATTGAAAAGGGGCAAAGGTGTAGGTAAATCATATGTAATATTTAATCTAATTTTTATACTAGACCTCAAACTCAATGTTTCAAGGAACAATGACTGTTGATAAAAAAGAAATCAAAGGAAGTTTATGAAGAGAAAAAAACCAATACATTCATCAATATCAAAAAACAAGCATGTGATGTTGAAACGATTGTAAATTAAAATTTATTGATGAAGTTTTGTCCTTATTAAAAATTATACAATTTTAGAAAAGCTGATTTATATAACATTTTGTGCTTTTTAAAATGAAGGAATTTTATATATATAAGATTAAATTGTACCTGAAGCAGAAAAATCTTCATTTTTGAATAATTTATCCTCTTTTGTTATCACAAAACTATCTCACTGCTCTTTCATTCCATCTGTTGAAATGACCATTTAATGATTTACATCCCTTTTACTAAACATGTTATCACTTAACGTGAGCTAATATCAAAGTTTGATTATTACAACGAAAGGCTAATTTTATTATGTCACTCGAAGGTGAGAATAGGTTCTAAATTGGTCAGACAATACTTGGTCATGTTTTATGAACATTTAAACTCCTTGGCTACGCCTCGGTATTTAAATCTTCATTAAACATGACCAAGTATTATCTAACCTATAAGTAAAATATAACCTAAATGATACAAAAATACCAGGTGCAAAATAATCTGACCATAGAAATTTATGTAACACTATTTGATTCACACATATCATGACTTTAAAAAAAAATCTTTTATGTAGACTTTAATCGTTAACACAATGAAGAATTTCAAATCAGCTCTCAATCAAAATTACGTCTTATAAAGGATGTGAATAGAATACATTAGAGAATGGAATCGGGGAATGTGTCAAAGAGACAACAACCCGATCAAAGAGCCGAAAACAGTCCAAGAATGAAACAGATGTTCAACGCAGAGAGAAAATCCAGCACCCGGAGGCGGGCTTCAACTGGTCCTTATAATAATGGACGTCACACTTAACTCCAAAAACATACAAACGAACCAAAATAATAAAACAAAAAATTCGGACAAGATGAAGAAAAGCTAGAGGGTCCTTGTAGCACAAAGTGTTATGTGTATGGATGTTTAGTGCAGATATTAACGAAGCACTTACTAAAATGAATCCATATAAGAAGTATAAAATAAGAACTTACACGCAGCAAGACTTTAAGAATCTTAATAGAAATTATATTCGGACAAGTAATATGATTATCTGTGGACAACAGTATAGAAAGTTTTGCTGGATTTTTTTTATACATATATTTATCTACGGGTATCACATGTTGAGTATAATCTGCTAACCCTTGTGGAGCAGCGGAGATTATTTCCGACTTTTGTTTGGGTTCTGTTTTTCTATTATGTGCTTTGTTAACTGTTGTTTGTCTTTTGTGTCGATTTTCGTTTTTTATCATAGCGTTGTCAGTTTATCATCCACATATATGAGTTTGAATATCCCTTTGGTATCTTCCGCCTTTCTTCTACCCTTTGTCGTAAATAGAACCAAAACATTTAAGCATATATCTCATATTGATAATGTTTTTAAATATCTTTCAAAAGCATGGATCACAAGCGTGATAAATTACTAATCCAGGTTAAATGGTTCTTTCCTCCGACAGTCCAACGCTTTTAGATACGTACTGACTTCTATAATTATTTTCATTAAATCTTTCGATGAGACGTCATTAAAACTGTTAGTGTTATTTACGATTCTTTTATTTTCTTGATCGAGATCTTGCATTGCTAGTTGTTTTTTGTATTTGTTTTAATATTGTATTCTTACCCCAAGGGTTGATCATAGAAAAATAGTCATCCATATATTTCATCTGTATGAAAGTAAAACCATATCTAAAATATAGTTCCTCTGTTTAGCTGTTCAGAATGTATACCTTAAGTTTCCAGACATTCCTATCCTTCATCCCGGTCGATCCACTCTCCAGAATACTACTTATTGAATTTCTTGTTAATTTGTTCTTTGCTTGGTGGTCATGAGATGTTTGCCACTCGACGTAAAGTAAACACCAGAAAAGAAAAAGAATCAAACTTTTATTTTAGATCCTTTTGCAATATGGTTCGGAGGCTCAGATTCATTGTCTGAAGGAAATTGGAGATGGAACAAGCCAACACGATCTATAAATTTTTATGATTGGGGTTCGGTATTACTTGTTTCACAACCAAATGGGTGGCTCATCAGCAACTGTCTAGCATATTTTAATTGTGATCCATTTGGCACACAGTATCAATGGGTAGACGAACCATGTAGTGTTTCGTATCCCTTTTTATGTGAAAGGTAAGATTAATATCAGACACAATATATGATTAAATAATGTAACTCCAGAACCAAAGTATATTAAAGGGCGAACATGCACTTTATGTGCCTCCCACAAAAATTTACAGGTCACAATACATCTGGCTAATTTTATAAAACAATTTTCTAATATACCAAAAAATAAAAAAAAAAGAATTTTTAAAGAGGCATTGTGGTTGATTGTTATTTTTCATTTTTGTCAATAATGTTATGTATGTAAATATTTGTTTGCTTGTTTTGAAAGATAACGATATTGATTTTTAATCAATTACTTTTAAGCGAAATTTCTCGATAGCGCCACATTATAAAAATGCAAGATCACAGGCCAAGTAAAAGTCAAAATTTTGTACTTACTGCATATCCGCAAAGACCAAGACATTAAGAATTCGTAGACATTATGCCCGAGTAGGATTTAATGACTCCTTGCTCAATGCTATATAGTGACCAAGCACATTAATAATCAGATTTATGGTCAAGTGCAAAGCTGGAAACCTTCGTATCTTATTCACATGTTTCTGAATGTATACATATCATATTTGCCACGTGACTTAAACAGTCGTCACGCAATCTGTCAAAGTTCTTTTATCTAATTTTCTATCTTTTGTATTGTTTCTCAGGAATTTTTAGATAATAATTCAATATGTCATTTTATTAACAGGAGAACTACTTTAATATAAAAAAGGATTTATAGTATGAATTTTAATTGACAAACCATCAGATCACAAAGAGGAAGAACGTTAAAACCTCCATAGTTACTTTACAATATTCAGTGATGAGAAAACCCCGCTAGTAGAGTGCATAGTGTCCCAAACTGCCCCTATTGAACGAGTTTAAGTTAACGGAATTTTGTAATTCTTGTGCTAAATTATAGGAAAATCATCATTTTTACAATCGTGATTGTCCTCGAAAGTTCCCGCTGGGCACGTTTTTTTTTAAAATTTCGTGTTTTTACGGGGTACCCCTAAAGATACCGTATTGTACGGGGAATCTTTAACATGAACAATTAAATTATTGCCCTTTGTTGGTGGTTAAAATGATACTTAAAGGTAGTTTGGATATAAAATATATCATATGTAAACAAAATTCATTCGAGTAATATCAATCGTTATGTAGAAACATGCAATTTACAACAAAAATTAACAGGCTGATCTCCAGGTTGAAATTAAAAAAAAGAATGAAACTCATTATTTGAGAAGTTAAAAATTACAAAGTTGGTATATCTGAATTGTTTACATCTGTTTCTATGGGCTTCAAAAGTTTAATATAGGTTCATAAATTAGGATTTTATGCATCTTATATATGTGTTATACTTAAATTAGAATAAAGAGCTTCGAAGCATTTGTAAACTTTTAAATTGAAGAAAAAGAATTTCACAAAATAGTCCATTTTAGTAGGTGCAAATACATGTGGACCTTTCTTGGGCATAAGCATGAATATCGGAAAAAAAAAAAAACAATCCACAGTAAAAGATTGATTTTTTTATAGCATTAATTTACATCTCTGCCCCCGGCGACAGTTTTTTGGAAAAAAATCCTACGTTCGAGTACACCTTTTTATGTTCAGATGTGTTTTAGTTGACTGTTTTGTCTTGTAAACGTATAAAGCAAAAATATTTGACACATCATTGCTTCAGATTCTATTATTTTTATATTCAGCTACCGGCTGATATAATTACATTAAAAATTCACAGAACTGAGAAATGAAATATATGAATCAAGTGAAATACCTTTCTAATGAGTCATAACAATTTTTTTTACTAAAAGTTCTTGACGACAAACTTTACTTTTTTGTGCATAACTTTAAAAAAAATGTTTTTGTGTGTGTCATCTATGGTAATTAGTCTTCAACCTCTGAAAATTTTGAGTCTGCCCTTCCACGTAAAATTTAGTTAGAATTTCTTTTTGAACTTCCCCTAGGTAACCGATCAGACAATAGAGTTAAGTTGACAAAAGACCTAAAAGTACATTAAATGATGCCTAATAGCTCATAAATACATTTGTCTTTTAAAATACAAAAGTTCGTAATGATGCCATGTAGATAAATTTATCGGTTTTCGAGAGCTACATTAACAGCGCGTTATCCCTAGAATGGCTTCCACTTTTTACGATTAAAAAAATTAGGTGGTGTAAAGGGGAGATAATTTGACGAAGTACAAGCCTGACTGTTAAGTCCACTCTTTTGCTTTGATTCAACACGTATAATCTGGTGATGTAAATCGTTTTGTAGCTCACACTTTAATGTCATCAACAAGGACAACTATCTCTCATTTTTGCTTGTTGTATGGTTGATTTATTTGATTTGCATGGCCTTTCAGTTCGTAGAAAGTTGTTTCGTTTTATATTTTATGTCGGTTTTTCATAACTTTTTATTTTGTTATAATCCAATTGTAGTGTACGGACCAAGCCAGTCGGTCTCGTTCAGATCTGGAATATGGCACACATTCTTAATCTTGTTAAAGTTTGCCCCTGAAGTCGGAACCAAGTTGAATGAAATACAATGAGATAGGTGTGTTATTTGTCAAGGTTCTCCTTCTGAATTGCTAATAAATGTGCGACAGCTAATATGGCAATGGGTATGCCCGAGCAAATTACTGCAGTTGCTGAAATATATATGCCAGACATGCAGGTTTAATATATTTGCCAAGATTCCATTTCGGATGTTTGTTTTTTCTGCGAAAATAATACTTTAATAAAAATCGAAAGCTTCACAAAATAGAGTCAAATGTCCGAAAGTATGATTTAAGGGAATCAGCGTTTGAAAAAAAAATAATCAAAGGCTGCCTCGAATAATGGATGAAACAGCATTTATGGACAATGAGAAAAGATACACCAAATAAGGCTGGGATTGAACAAAGCTCGTTCCATACTAGAACTCGACATCACTTTTCAGCCGCTCATTTTTATGTACACGAAGATTTGTTTGGTGGCAAAACAAGCATTCTGCATTTCGCAAGTATTGTAAAGGTATCGATCATATCTTCCTGATCATATACCCGAGACAAACTTGGTTAAAAAATTTAAAGAAAAACTCTACAGGTATTACAGCGATTATTGTGTAACAACCAAAAACAAGAGATACGCCTCATCGAAATAAAATGCATACGGCGTTTGACTGCGCAAACAAACTAAGTATTGAATACATCAGAAATACTTTGGGTTCTCCTGTGGTAGCTATCTAGAAAGAAATCATATTATGCGCCTAGGTTTTTTCCACACATTATCATGTTACACTGCAGCGTTTGGAAAATTATTGGGTGATGGAGGTCTAAAAGATTTGTTGGTCGTTCATTTGTTTACTCGTCCGGAACAGTAAATAAGATGTTGAATGAAAAGAAATTCAATCGAGCTGTAATAGCTTTGAAGCTTTTTGTGTGTCATGGTTATCTAATTTCTTCAGATGGTGTTTATTAAGTCATTGACTAGAATTTATAACATCCATTCATGCTGCAGTGGCTGACATTGAACGCATGTTGCTTTCTCTGATGAAGGACTTTAGACAGTGGGGTTGCAATACATGACCAACATTTAAAATTTTGAGACAAGTTTCTCACGACAGTAGATTTAATGCCACAAAACATTCGATCCAAAAGAGAAGGACTTCGGCGCTTACATTTGTCGTTATTTTTGCTATTTTGTCAATCATTTTTGTCGTCACAAAAGTAGTGTAAAAAGGCCGATTCTGCGGCACTTTCCATTTTCAAGGGGAAATCTAGCACAAATCCAACTTTAGATTTTTTACAATGTAAACGGACCAGCATCCCAAGTAGTCTTAGGGTAGAAACAAGAATATGGCTTTTTTTTGTAAACAATGGTAGAAACACATTAAAGGGGATGTAATCCTAGGTGAATACAAATATAAATATGGCTTTCACAAACAATGGTAGAGACACTCCAAAGGACCGTGTTGCTACAAGTGAGATGGATGAAATTGAAATAGGTAAAGAGATGGAATTCAAGAGTGATAATATGGATCAATACATGGATTTCTCCAAGGATAACGAGGAAGAACTTGAGAATGATACTGCACCAGAATTCAAGACCAGTGGCGCTCTACTGAAAAGAAAGAAGGGGCAGTTCTGCAAGAGTAAACCAGGAAACGATGGGCTCTGCTGAATACACAGTAAAGAACCACGCCAGCAGGAGGAGGAGGATACCCCAGTTATAGGGAAGATTGAGGTGAAAACCACCATTAAAGAACTTCGAGAAATCGCGAAGAAGGAGGGTCTTAAGGGATACAGTAGGAAACCCAAGGGGAATTGGTCAAGTTAATTGAGACCAATACCACCCACAAATTTACTCGCGAAGAGGTTTTCATCAAAAAGGAACTGAAGACCATTGCCAAAAGACGGGGAATTACCAAATATTCCCGACTAGGGAGAGCTGAACTGACCGAACTGGTGAAGAAGGACATTAAAAATGCCCCAATCGAAGAGGAAATCAAAATTGTTGACCGACGCGATGCATTGAAAGGTGTAGTTGGCACAATCACCCTTGAACAACTCAAGCAGCATGATTTGGAGACGTTTTTCCAGGTAAGTCGCAACACCATCACCAGCACAATCGAAGATACCCTCACCCAAAAGAAGGGGTTGAAGGTACAGCTAGTGGTGAGCTTGGAATTGGTCAAAACGAATCCCGCGACCGGAGAGAACCTTTACGCCATCCCCTACTTCAGATCAGTGATGGTAGCAATCACCGAATCAACGGACCTAGACTTCGAGATTACGGTCATGGTGGCGAAGATCAAGGAGAGTATGGTAAAATACATGCGTAAGGGTAGCGGGTAGGTATTTAATCACATCGAGCAATTTGAAATCCACCTGAACAAATTTAAACCACTTGCCGGCAGCTCCTACATACCACTCCCATCGGAGCTTGCCAGGAGGAAAGCAATCATCAATGTGCAAAACAAGGATGATCAATGCTTTCGCTGGGCTATTCTCTCAGCCCTACATCACGTGGAAGTGGATAAGAATTGCAACA